GACACTGGGCACAGGTCAATAGTCAATATATCCACCCTGAATGGCACAGGAAAACATAGTAGCCTAAAAAAATAGGGTGAAACAGATATGAGTACTTTTTTTAAAAGGAGGTAATTACACTATGGAAAATGAATGCTAAAATGCTATGGCAATGACTACAAACTGCCAATGTGCTTGCTTGCATGTAGTAAATTAATTCAAGTTCTTCACAGAAGTACAATCTTTTGCTACACTATTCAGGAGTAAGTACCATTGATTTCAATTAGTCTTACTCCCAGGTATGTGGGGACAAAACTGCAACCTAAATAAACCAGTGGCAATGAAAGTATGTGCTGGATAATTGCATTCAACCTTTTATAAGATCCTGCCTACAATCAGGCAAGCAACAATCATTTCTCTATATATGGTAAGTGTGTGTTTCTGTAGTATATATCATTGTCCATGCATGGCTTGTTCTTAAATTACAATTCACAGGATAATACTGCTGGACAAAGAGCTTATTTTACAGTATAGGTAAAGGTTTTCCCTTGACATTAAGTCCAGTCATGTCCGACTCTGGGGGTTGGTGTTCATCTCCATTTCTAAGCCAAAGAGCCAGCATTGTCTGTAGACACCTCCAAGGTCATGTGGCCGGCATGACTGCATGGAGCTCCGTTACCTTTCCGCAAGAGCAGTACCTATTGATCTACTGAAATTTGCATGTTTTCAAACTGGTAGGTTGGCGGAAGCTGGGGCTAACAGCATACTACACTCAAAAAACAAGAAAGACTAACAATATTTATAAATTTTTACAATAACTGTTCTTTATCTAGAAAATTGTCCTTTTCTACTTTATGTCTATTTTTTCAAAATACCCAGCTCACAGAAAAGACATGATAAGTCTAAAGACAGTCCTTTAAAAAGAGAACCATCCCCAACAACACAAATAGGCTTCTTCTTTCAGAAATAAGTCAGATTTCATAGCTGTTAAAACTTTTAAGTAATAACACATGTCAAAATTAATTTAATGGATTTCCCCTCTATATATGTTATTTCAAATATATTTATTTTTTCTCCTGCATTAGTCATATAACCAAATTGTATAACTAAATAAAATCTACCTCAGCTCATATCACATTTGAAATGCTAGCTTAAGCAATTGAAATAAGTATCATTGAGTGAAATGTTTTATAGAAATCAGATTTAGTATGTTCTTTAGTAAATAGCATCTTGTTTTTATCAGGAAAACAGGGAGCTTCCTATGCTTTATAGAATCGAGTTATTTTGAAATGGTATAAATACAGTATTTTTCTTTATAGTCTGGATGGATACTTTCATATGGGTGGAAAATAGTATGAATTCTTGAGTAAACCAGGTTTGGGGGGGGGGGGGGTAGAACCATTTTGAGTTGTAAAAGACCAGGTGGAGAGTGTATTGACCTCAAATGCTGGCATATAGGGCCGTAGCCAGGTTTTAAGGGTTCTAACCTCCACACCCAAAAAGGTTCTAACCTCCACACCCGAAACCTGGTTTACTCAAGAATTTTAACTGGTTAACTAAGTTATGAGTAAACCAGGTGTCTTTTTTAACCTGACACATTTCAGGGCAGGGTTGAACATCCCCTCCCCTGGCTATGGCCCTGCTGGCATGAACATAACAGCTGAATAGACAGGAGCACTTGAATGGCTCCTCTCTAGGATAACTTTTCAGTGGATAGTGACCAAAGTCCAGGTTTCTTCCATGAATGTTGCTAGCAATGTATATAATTTAAATGATGATATTTATCCATTTAGGCTTGCTTGTAAGAAAATCTTATTGAGGCTAAAAGAACATAAAGAGTATTGACACTGTCGCTGGAAGTGGCGGAGGCTGCTTTCTTGTCCCTGTATCCACCTCAGTGCACAAGAGGAACTGGATGCTTCCAGGTATGGCATGTGGGTGTATTTTGTCTGTTTTTGAATACCCATGAATGGAAAGCAGCCTCTATCCCCTGTCTAATTCTCCTTGGGTCCCCCAGGTACAGCCTTGTACCCAATGAGTGGTTGAGAGAACAAAGCTGAGCCTAAGACATACCTGTCTAGTCTTGCACACTAAGGATATTGATATTGTATGTGTAATATAGGCTACCTCATTGTCCAATGTCATTCAAAGCCCGTATGCCATTGTAACAGAGTTATGTGGGAATATGCCACCAATAGGAACCGGGTCAATAAAGCATTCTATACTGAATAGGACTCTTGGTGTAGGGCACTGCTGTTGACACAAAGTGGCAGAGACTCTTGGATTTCATAAATGAGCCTTACATAGAGTATCAGAATAGGACTGAGGACCATGTGCTTAAAAAAAATGTTATATGGATCTGCCCTCAACAGGGCATAGTTTTGAATATATATATATATTACTACATTTATATGCTGCCCTTCTCACCCCGAAAGGGACTCAGAGCGGCTTACAAGTTATAATTGTTTCTGATTTGTGCGCTATTTTCTTCAGACTTCATTCTGGTCTTGATCTTATACTATAAAAACACAAGGAGTCATTCAATGGGTGTTGCTATGGCCGGGCAGCCAGGCTGTTGAAGTTAAAATCTGTGCTTTTACCCAGAAAATTGGTGATTTGGATTTTTTAAAAAATATAATAGAAATTTCAGCCTAGCTGTGTGTGTCTGTACTTTCAAGCCACCTGCTAACTTATGGCAACCTGATGAATTGCCTCGGGGTTTTCTTAAGCAAGGGATATGTTATGCATTTGTGGCAAGCTGCAGGAATGCCTCAATTACATCTTTAAAATGGTCAATTCTGGGTAATTCTTGGTTAATTATGGCTTTTAAAAAATTCTCCAGTGCTTGTGTGAAAGAATGGAGTTTGGGAAAAGAGATGAAACAATGGTGATGATATTCTGCCTAGACAAAAACTACATTATTGGTCATCTTTGCTTCGCCTTAAAATATTTATTTAAATTCCCTTCCTTTTTGTTACATTTCAGTTACAAAAGCAAGGTTTTTAAGAAAACAATAGGCAGAGCTTAATGGTCAAATAGATTCCTTCAATATCTGGAATCCACTACAAGTGAAAAAAGGAGAATTTCATTGTGTTTTAACACACACTTTGAGCAGTTCCTTTGAGAATTTCTGCTGCAGGACTTCAAAATAACTTTACCTGAAAGGTCCTATTGCCTTGATTTTGGAGAGAGGAAACAGAATAGAATTCGATGTTGCTGACTTTCAAAACACTGAAATTACCATTTCATTCTTAATTGGTGGGGTGTCAGTGGAGGGGGAGGGGTGCTGATATCAATCAATTCCTTTTCTAAAAAAATACCATAAAGATTGTTGTTTGGCATAAATTATATTAATACGTATGTTAAAATAATGAGCACTTAGAATTGAAAACTGAAAACTTTGAAACAGACTAAGATGAGACTAGAGAGGAATTGGAAAAACCACTTATGAGTATCCCATGCTTAAGAAAACCCTGAGACAATTCATCAGGTTGCCATAAGTTAGCAGGTGACTTGAAAGCACGCACAGCTAGGCTGAAATTTCTATTATAGTTTTTTTAAAAATACAAATCACCGATTTTCTGGGTAAAAGCACAGATTTTAACTTAAAAAACGTGTGTGTGTGTGTGGGTTGTCACATACTTTATCTTGGTTTATGAAATGATCAGGGATTTTTTTTAATTTTTTACTTTTTCATACTCTTCTGTTCACAGAGGTGCAAAGCTCACTCAGCAGCTTCCTGTTGGGTACACTTCCTGTAGTTCTTTAGAATGGTATAATATGACACTGCATGACACCCAAGTCATTTGGGGAAGTATTGGCTAATGGGGAGGATAAGGTGATGCAACATTAGTACTACGGTATCACATCTGTAAGGAGCCCCCGGTGGCGCAGTGGGTTAAAACCCTGTGCCGGCAGGACTGAAGACCGACATGTCGCAGGTTTGAATCCGGGGAGAGGCGGATGAGCTCCCTCTATCAGCTCCAGCTTCTCATGCGGGGACATGAGAGAAGCCTCCCACAAGGATGATAAAACGTCAAAAATCATCCGGGCGTCCCCTGGGCAATGTCCTTGCAGACGGCCAATTCTCTCACACCAGAACCGACATGCAGTTTCTCAGGTCGCTCCTGACACGACAAAAAAAAAATCACATCTGCAATGCATTCTAGAAACAATGCTGACAGAGGGGAATTTGTAGAAACATGTACAACTATGACAAGTGCAGGGCTTTAAAGAAACAGTCTGAAAAGCAAATGGACTGTCTGATTTACTGGGCGGTGTGGTTGTGTGTTGGGAAAGGAACAATGCATGGTTGCTACCAGATGACATGGGTCTGTTTCTTTTTCCTGGGCTCCCCTGTAGCACCAGTCAATAAGTTTAAAACAACTGGTGGCTACTCATTCACCAGCGAGTTTCTCCCCTTTCCCAGGAAAATTCCTGGAGTACCCTGACATGTGGTTTCCACTGTGGTCAGATGGCAAGACAGGTGTGTGTGTATTTGCATTTAAAGCCACAGCCAGGGATCTCCTGCTTTCCTCCAAGCTTTGTTTTACCATCTTTCCTATCTTCGTTTAATTGTCAAAACTTTGTGGAGGTGGTTGGCATGGGACATGGATTTAGGATCAGGTGTATAGTGCCTATCAGACAGACTCAGGATGCTTGGCTGAAATCAAGTCTTGTCCAGAGGTGGGTGACCACATTGACCACACTCCCTGTGGCTGAGAGGCCAGGTCTGGGAATGTCTGATCCCTCTCATGCCATTCCTATGGGATCTGCCAGTGGGCCAGATGTAAGGGCATATCAATCAACATGTGAGTTGGTTGATGCCTGGGTCCAGACCAGGCATGAGCAAACTTTGGCCCTCCAGGTGTTTTGGACTCCAACTCCTACAATTCTTAACAGTATCGGCTGTTAGGAATTGTGGGAGTCGAAGCCCAAAAAACCTGGTGGGTCAAAGTTTGCCCATTCCTGTTCCAGACCCATGTGTGCATGAGCCCTGCTAAAACAGAAACCAAATAAAGTAATGGCCATTTTTTATTCAGTTTGTTGTGTCTGCCTGAGCTTTGTGCTAGTTGCAGAGTGGATTTTGTCCCTGAACATTCAACAGAAATACATGAAATTTTGGCGGACTTCTTGGGTTAAGTACTGTTAAGTTATGACCCTAGTCCTGAATTTAGAGGAATTTGTTTTTCTCTTCTGACTTTTTGAAGAGCAGAGGCTTATGTTCATTTTCTACTCACTCATTAAAAAAAGTGTAGTTTTTGGGATCAAAATCAAGACATCGATTATTTTATTATTTTACCCATGCTGATGCTTCTTCAGTGTAGGCAAGGTCAATAATAACTAAATTTTGTTAGGAGTAGATAGGAAGGTTCTGCTAATCTCAGGCAAGCAAAAGTAATGGCCAAAACACAGCCAGAAAATGTGTGCTGCTTCTCCAAAGGGAAGCCTCCTCTCTCATCAGAAATGGTTTTTCAAACTGATGAGGATTTAAAGAACGGGTTGTAATTTGGGAATGTTAGGTATCCCTAGCAAACAAAAAATGTCAGAATTTTTTCTGAGCTCACTTGCATGAGCCATAGTAATTATTTGGATCCTAGGTTATATTGGAAGAAGAATTAAAAAAGAGCAATAGAAACAACCCCATAGATACTATAACAGCATTTTGGGAAAATATTTGAGAGTATTTTATTTGCCAAGAATGAATAAAATAGATGACAGTTCTACTTTTAGTAATATGTAAAAACAGTTATTGTTGTGGACAGTCTGGTCCAAGGTCTGAGTCTACCAAATGGTAGTCCAACCAAGATTCAGTGGTTCTCAACTTGTGGGTCCCCAGGTATTTGGCCTATAACTCCTAGAAATCCCAGCCAGTTTACCAGCTGTTAGGATTTTTGGGAGTTGAAGACATCTGGGGACCCACGGGTAGAGAACCACTGAACTAGATAGACTCACTCAGACAATAGTGAATCTTCTTGATTCAATTATATGGCAGGTAGTATTATCCACAGGATTTAGGCCTTTATGTTAAGTGGTTGAAGATTCTAACTTTTACTGGAACAGATGTGAGAACAAATAAAAATAAGACCTTGTAAAATGTTCTACATGTGTTAAAGTATAATCCCAAAACACTGCTTTAATAAGTAAAGAGGAGAATGTTGCATCAATGTCATTTTTGTATGCTCCCCTGAGAATTTCATTGAAAGGTAGGCTTTATATTCTATAATAAAATGGCAATGTGCAATACAATAGTTTAGGGTAGGAATTCTACCCCCCTCCCAATATTATATTTGTTAGAAAGATTTTTTTAAAGTCTACATTCTTCTTGTGGATACTAATAGTAAAAAATTATGCAACCAAAGCAACAATTTTATTTTTATGGCAAGCTGGGTCTCTGTCCTCTAATGGGGTTATTTCCATTAGAGGAAAGAGCCCCAGCCTCCTGCAAAAAATAAAAAAAAACATGGAAATAATGCATTACTCTAAGAGGTTCTGGAGAAGTAGCAAAATGTTTCTTATAGGCAGGACGTAGAAATGTCATGCCAAAGACTTACCGGCTTTCAGTAAATAAAATGAAATAAATGCAAATTTCTGTCATTTACTGGCCAATGATACCTTCTCCTCGATGACCAGCCATATCAAGAAATTATTTCCACAGCATTGTGGAACTATGAAGGCTGCAATCATATACATATTTATCTGGGAATAAGCCTCATTGAGTGCAGAGGGACTTAATTCTAAGTATCTACTGAATCCCAAATAAAACAAGGGTTATCAAATATTGAGGAACACATTTTCTGGGACTTCACAGTTACTTTTACATATAAAAGAACACTATCCAGAACAGAGCAAAATAAATGTAAATTATAAGACAAAACCAAGAGTAGAATGTGAGATGTTATACAGTACTACAACTTCTTGTGCATTTTCTTACATGTTTAGTATTTTGGTTTTCTGTACAAAGATTGAGTCTGAAATTTTCTGGAATAATATGGAACATTCTCTTAATCATACCAATTGGATGGTATGATTAACATTATGACTTCTTTACTACTACGAGCTTAGAGGTATGTTTTAGTATTAAAAAAACCCCTTCTGTACCACCCTTTGTAAACCCTAAACATTGCACTGAGTGTACTCTGTTCTTTGAATTTTTCAAGCAGGATTGCTTTATGAAAGTGAAAGAGCTGAACAATGCAAGCTGCAAAAAAAAGTGTAAGGCATTTCTTTAAAATTATTCTTCAAACTACAGTCTGCTGACTTTAGAAAGGACATCTCTGGATGTTTAACATCTGGGTATTGAGAACAATTGTTATTTTCATTGTTATTATGAATGGAGTGTATCTGCATGGGAAACGTCACCTAGACTGGTATTCTTAAACTTTGTTATATAAGGTTAGAAATGCAGTCAAATGGGTTCACATGTACGCACAGAACTCTAACTTAACCTTGACACAAACATTATTTTTAACTGGCTACATTCTAGTATACTACTATAATATATGTATTTGTTCACCTCTTGAGTTGAGTAACTACAGGTACTTTGCTGTGACTGTGTGCCACTATACAGAAATGTGCAATGTGAGAAAGATCGTAGCAGAAAAAACAATCCAGCATAAAAGAGTTCTTGTAAAAAGGAACTCTCTTCTTGCAGGATAGTATGAATGAAGGTTGAAGGCACCTGGACTCAGTAGGAGCATGGGGCATACAGGCACGTGTGTGTATACACACACATACTCAAATTGTATATACACAAGTAGACATACATTTGTACATTCTTTGGAGGAAAGATAAAAACAATGGTGCATATCTGTTTTTAAACATTGACTTTGCAAAGTCACAGTAATTGTAGCAAAAGTTTGCCTGTTGAAAGCATTGCTCTTGAAGTGCCAAAACAGATTACTTAATAATTACTATACAGGCCACAAGGAAAATGAACATAAACACCTTTCACATAAAACAAGATAACATCAAAGGCTATATCAATGCAGCATGATGATTTCCAAATTACTCCCAGAACTGACTTAATTTGGTAGTGGTAAGTTACATGTGCCTTAATTTTAGCCCTTTGTGTTGATTATCTGTTTCCCTCCACTATAGTGTTCTGAAAGTGGCAGGGTATGAAGAACGGCAGAAGAATGTCAAGCCAAAATGCTGTTGGCAGCCTGTGTTAGGATGTGTGGCTGTGCATATATGTGTATAAAATGTGTGTGTACACGCTTATGGTTCTTCCTGTAGCTCACTTGGGTGCTGTCATCACACCTGCATCTCGGAAGTGCCCATCAGACCCAGTGCTTTAGCTTCTTCTGGTGTCAGTCCACTCTTAAGGGTCCGTCTCACTAAAAAAAGAAGAAGAAGAAAAGAAAAGTATGAGGTCCAGCAGACGGGAAGCCCTTGGTCTTCTCATTGGCAGTGTTTTCTTTCTTTAACTACTCATTTAGAGTTAAAGAGGGCTTGAAAAAAATATTAATGGACAATAAACTTCCTGCCTTCAGGAGCTATGGTTTTTTGCTCGTTTGTCTTGGAAGAGGATACATTGAGGACTTTTGTGTTTGGTGATAAAAACAGACCAAGGAAGCACCAAGGAATTATTTTCAAGACTCTGGAAACTGGAATGATCTATATAGTCTTGGATCAAATCTAGTCTTGGAGCAAGATCTGGACATACTTAAAGTAGACTCAATGAAAGCAGTCATACAATCATAGAGTTGGAAGAGATCTTGTGGGGCATCCAGTCCAACCCCCTGCCAAAAAGCAGGAAAACTGCATTCAAACCAATGCGGCTTACCAGCTGTTAGGATTTCTGAGAGTTGAAGGCCAAAACATCTGGGGACCCACACTGGTCTATGGGGTTCCTCAGGGCTTGCTTTTATTCTTCACAATGTATGACACCTGAATGAAACCTCTGGGAGGGGTTATCTGAGTTTGGGTTTTTTTTGGGGGGGGGGGTCATTGGATGAGGATTCACTTCCTCTGACATCTCAGGTTTGTAACATGGATTATCTTTTAAAAGATCTTATCTCCTTATGAAGCTGGCCAAGCTTTAAAATCTATAGAGAAAAACTTTCTTCTATCATCACCCACATCATCACTGGCACACTCAGTGAGGACTTCTTGGTGGTTGCTCCCAGGTTATGGAAACAATGCAGAGTTTTTAAAAGCTAAGCAAAATAAAACATCTTAGTAAATTAAGAGCTAAAAACCGACAAGATTTAAAAAGTAAAAACACTGAAGTTCTTAAAATCATAGAGCCTGAAAGTCCTCCCTTGCCTTGTTTGGTAATAAACTTCTTCCTGGATAGATGTAAAGGAAGAGTAAGTTGATATCCCAGTCCAGCAATGCAGTACAACATAGCATTCCATGCAAGATGTATACAGCCAGTTACTCCAGTTTCATAACATGCTCGTATTTGAGCACTTAACATCAAACATCTGAGCAATACAGCCATGCTTCTGCTGATATTTGGTCCTCTTAAATGCCATGTTGGGATTTTGAATATCAAACTAGAGTTTATTGTGATAACAGAGTTCCTATTATATTTTTCATGGAACACAAATGAAAAATAGCCTCATTAAATAAGATAGCACTGTTATTGCTATATGTTTTTGATCTCACAAGAATTTTTCCAATAGAAAAGAGCCTCAGCAAAGAGAAAGAACATATGTAGCCTGAATGTGCAAGAGAGAAGAACAAAGGGAACACACATAAAAAATACTAAAGACAGGGCAAACTGCAGATATTGGGAGGGATAGCCAATACTCAAGAGGACAGGAGTAGAATTCAAAATGATCTTGACAGATTAGAGAGATGGGCCAAAACTAACAAAAAGAAGTTCAACAGGGACAAATGCAAGATACTCCACTTTGGCAGGAAAAACGAAATGCAAAGATACAGAATGGGAGACGCCTGGCTCGAGAGCAGTATGTGTGAAAAAGATCTTGGAGTCCTCGTGGACAACAAGTTAAACATGAGGCAACAATGTGATGTGGTGGCAAAAAAAGCCAATGAGATTTTGGCCTGCATCAATAGGAGCATAGTGTCTAGATCTAGGGAAGTCATGCTACCCCTCTATTCTGACTTGGTTAGACCACACCTGGAATATTGTGTCCAATTCTGGGCACCACAATTGAAGAGTGATGTTGACAAGCTGGAATGTGTCCAGAGGAGGGTGACTAAAATGATCAATGGTCTGGAGAACAAACCCTATGAGTAGCGGCTTAAGGAGCTGGGCATGTTTAGCCTGAAGAAGAGAGGGCTGAGAAGAAATATGATAGCCATGTATAAATATGTGAGAGGAAGTCACAGGGAGGAGGGAGCAAGCTTGTTTTCCTGCTTCCCTGGAGACTAGGACGCGGAACAATGGCTTCAAACTACAAGAAAGGAGATTCCATCTGAATATAAGGAAGAACTTCCTGAGAGCCGTTCAGCAGTGGAACTCTCTGCCCCGGAGTGTGGTGGAGGCTCCTTCTTTGGAGGATTTTAAACAGAGGCTAGATGGCCTCTGTCAGGGGTTCTTTGAATACAATATTCCTGTTTCTTGGCAGGGGGTTGGACTGGATGGCCCATGAAGTCTCTTCCAACTCTATGATACTATGATTCTTTTCAGTGGATGCACACACACAGGATGAGTTAGTGGAGCAAAAGTTACTTACAGCTATTGATATATATAGCAAATATGGGCAAGTGAATAGATTTAAAACGAAGAAAGGGCCATCAAGAATTATGCTATAGAGCAGTGTTTCCTACCTGTGGTCCATGGATTATCAGTGGTCCGCAGGAACTAAATTATGGCCTGCTGCCTCACTGTTACTACACCATTGCAATGAGAGCGACTGGTCTCATGAGACCCTCTTATTAAATATGCTTTTCTGTGGATGAGCAGATGGCAACTACTGGATGACATATGTTCTGTATCAGAAACTAGAGCTGATGTGGTCTATCCAATGCTGTTTGCTGAATTAGCACACCAAATAACCAAACCAAATCTAAAGTTGACCAAAAACTGATTCATAACCCTTTTGGTACAAACAGAAAGTGGTCCCTAGTCAAAGTTGTCCCTGGTCAAAAAAAGGTTGGAAACCACTGGTTGAGATAGGACAGGATACAAATGTCCGAAATAAATAAATAAATAAATAATAGAGAATTCTAACACGGAGCAAAGATAAGAAAAGAGGCTGCTCATCTGCATTCTTTTCAAATGTTTTCCCTGTGTTGTTTTTCTAAGGAAATTGCTACATGCAAAAAAAGTAAAAGTAAAAAAGTAAAAAAAGAGGAAAAAGCAAAAGAGATTGTTGTTTTTAAGCACATGCTGGCTAATGGAGTCCAAGCGCTGCTGGGTGCAAAATCCTCTTTATGTGCAATGGCATTAACCAGCGTGACCACCAACTCATTGCAATTTGTGCCTGGTCACTCACTGTTGTTGTTTGTCCTTTGGTCTTAACTTTAACAAAATGCTAAAGGAATAAAGAAGCCATTAGAATGCTTATTTGTAGTTCTTCATATCTCTACTATATGATTCTGAACAGGTACAAAGATTAAAAAAAACCCCGACTTTTACTAAGTTTTGTTTATTCAATTCTTAGTACATATTGCACAAGGAAAACATGGAAACCTTTCAATACAAAGAGATTTTCTGTTTGAATTTTCCACAAATATTTCCAGCCAAATCCAGAAGTGCCTGTGCTTTTTTGATGGTAGTCCCTCTTCAGAAATGTCTGAAACTTCTCTGATGGTAAAACTACATATGATATACTATACATGACAACTTGCATTTGTTTCAAACATTTATACATTTTTAAAATTGTTTTTATTGAGAATAAAAAGTGCTCCAAAACGAGGAGCAAAATAAAGAAAAGAAAATGTATATTATAGAATGAAAGATATCTTGCTTACATAAAAAGTGTGGGAATAATATGATTGAGAAAAGTTGGAAAGAAGAAATAACTGAACACGAAGAAAAAGAGAGGGGGGGGGTGAGAGACTTGGAAATATAAGCACCTAACCTCCCCTTCCCCGTTCTCCTCTTCAAACTTTTATAAATGTTAAATAGCAGGCAAAGGATTGTTTCCTTGTCATGATGCTGGAGCTTGAGCATCTTGATGATGCCATGAGCAAAATTATGAAGGGGCACCCAAGACGGGAAGGTCATGGCAGGGAGGTCAGACAAAATATGATCCTTGAGGGAGGTAATGGAAACCTACCCCAGTATTCTTGCCATGTAAACTAAATGAATCACATATGTCGATATACCATTGGAAGATGGGACTCCCAGGTTGGAAGAAGATCAAAATGTTACCAGTGAGGAACAGAGGATAAGTTCAACTAGCTCCAGTTGTGATGATTCAGCTAAGTCAAAGCTGAAAGGAAGGCTGACGGTGCTGGAGGTGAATCCGATGTTCTAAAGATCAACACACCATAGGAACCTGGAATGTAAGGTCTATGAGGCAGGGCAAACTGGACATGGTTATTGGTGAGATGTCAAGATTAAAGATAGACTGAAATGGACTGGAATGGGCCACTTCACAACAGATGGCCGCCATCTTGTCCACCATCTTGTGGACAAGAGAACCACTGAAGAAATGGAATAGCCTCCATAATTAATAAATTAATAATAAAGTTGCTAAAGCAGTGATTGAATACAATTAAAAAAACAATAGAATGATCTTAATTAGAGTTCAAGTTAAGCCATTTCACATCACAGTGATGCAAATATACGCTCTAGCACAGCTGCTGAAGAAGCAGAAGTCGATCAGTTCTATTAGGATCTGGAGCACCTACTCGATAATACACCAAAAAGAAACATTATTTTAATCACTGGAGATAATGGGATCCCAGCTGAACTGTTTAATGTCAGGACCCAATTTCCAGAGACTTGGTTTTGGCGCTGGAAATCAGGGTTCTGATGTAGGACACTGATAAGACTGTTGCAGCTGCTGACCCTGAAAGACAACGGCCGATGACTTGGTGGGGAATTTACACGGAGTTTCGCACTTGGCGACCGGGGAATGTTGGTGTTCCCGATTAAGCTAGAAGGAGAGGACAAGTGGGCTAGTTGCAGGGCATTTGTTGATTGTGGATGCTCTAGGAATATCATCACACCGGAATTAGCCCAGGAGCTGGGGTGTGAGAAGGTGACTCTAGAATCCCCAATAGTTTTTTCCCAGTTGGATGGATCTGTGGCATCTGGGTCCCTAGCAAAGTATGGGGTCGAAAATGTGAAATGCACATTGGGGCAATGGGAAGGAGGAGTGATGTTTGTGGTATCTCCAATGGCCACATATAATATCATCCTAGGTATGCCATGGTTGAAACAGGCGAACCCAAGAACTGATTGGAGGGAGAGGAGCATGCATTTCCAGGAAACCCAAAGGGAGAATTACAAGGAGCCCACGAGGGAATGGGGCAATAGAGGGGAGGAGGACCAAAACAAGCTGGCAGATTTAGCTTGAGGCCTCCCCCCGGAGTATCGCAATTTTGTTGATGTCTTCGGCGAGAAGGAAGCAGACAAATTCCCTCCCAAGAGAAGTTACACGGGGTTTTGCACTTGGTGGGAAGGACGTTTTCAAATGAGGGGGAGGGTATATAAGGAGCACAAACTGACACCAAGCAATCTCGGCTTTTTTGCATGTTATGTTTCTAGCAGTAAAGTTCTCTCTGACACCAGAACGCAGTCCTGTGTTTTCATTGGCAGCTGCTACTGTGAGCTGAGAGTTCAAAATCTTGAAAGAGAATGCTGACAAGGTGATGCATGCCATATTCATGCAAATATGAAAAACACAAGAATGGCCATCAGGTTGGAAAAAAATCAACTTATATCCCCATACCAAAAAAGGGAAACACTAAAGAATACTCAAACAGTGGCACTTATTTCACATGCCAGTAAAGGAGTCAAAAGTAAAGGAGCTCAAGATCCTGCAAGATAGACTCCAGCAATACATAGAGAGAGAGTTGCCAGATGTACAAGCTGGGTTTAGAAAATAGAATGAGAGACCAAATTACCAATATCCACTGGATAATGGAGGAAGTCAGGGAGTTTCAGATAAATGTCTATTTCTGTTTTATTGACTATTCTAAAGCCTTTGACTGTGTGGATCATAATAAGTTGTAGCAAGTTCTTGGTGGGATGGGGATACCAAGTCACCTTGTCTCACTCCTGAGGAATCTGTATAAGGGCCAAATAGCAACAGTAAAAACTGACCATGGAACAACAGACTGGTTCAAGATTGAAAAAGGCGTACGGCAGCAGGCCTATAGCCAGGATTGGGGGGGGGGAGGAGTTAGGGGTTCAACCCCCCCCCCCCGAAATTTTTCAGGTAAAAAAAACCTGGTTTTCTCATGAATTTTAACTGGTTAACCAAATCCCAATGCTAAGTTTATGAGATGCAAAAAAATAAGAGCCCCTCCAGAACTGCAAGCACTATCTCAAGCAAATATTGACAATTTATTCACACTGTCATTACTTGCAGCAATAGCTGATGTAGCGAAGCAACCAAGCTGAACGGGGGGGGGGGGGGGGGGGGGGGGGGGGGGGGGGGGGGTTAGAGTTCTCTCATTAAGGAGGCCAGACTTGGTGGAGGTGATTGACAGGGGCGGAGCTGCAGGCTATTGAAGGCTGCTCTGCCCCCTGCTATGCTCTTTGCTTCAGTGTGAGCTAGGAGGCACGTTCCCCCCTCCCCCAAAACTCTGGCGTGTGCTGGTCCATGAGGTCACAAAGAGTCGGAAGCAACAGAAAGAATAAACAACAACAAAATAGCAGACATTGGGATCCACAGTCAGTGTTTGGATGATTGCATATACAGAATGGGAGAAGATTGGGGGAATTATTAGAAAACTCTTTCCGCAAACTGATATTTGGACATTTGGCATTAAGGATAACTTCCTTCCCTCTTTTGTCAAATAAGAACCTGAGGTGTGCTTTTTGGACAGGACTACGGTGCGAGAGGAAAGCTTTGATTCCTATCCCTGTGTGCTATACTTCCAATTATGATCATCCCTCCATTATTTAATGTTTTAAGAAGACCTAAACAATTGCAAGTGATACATTCAGCACCACATGCAATTTGTTGATGTGCTTGAGAAAAAAATTTACATCACAGGCTGCTTTGAAGCAGAGGCAGGTTTTTGGTTCTAAGTCCAGTTTACTGGAACAAGTTTACAGGTTTGGCAGGTGATTTAGGCAGGTGATTTAGGAATTTTTTTTTATAATTCCTCATTATTTGCCCATTCGCATGTGTCTTTTTCTCTTTTAACATACCCATATATAACTTCCCCAATTAGCAAAAGCGGAGATGGAACCACAGTGCTGCAAGAGTAACTATGAAGATGTTCAAGCTTTGTTTTTATTTAATTGTGCTTTTTATATAGTTTTGAAAGAATTATACACACATATGAGCTGTTTTTCCCATATACACTGATGGGGGAAATTCTAAGGCACGAATACTTACTTCCAAATTGGCTGCTACAAACGTTAAGATAGTAGGCCATTTTCACCCTTCTGTAATTCAAACATTGCATCAATTTATTCTTCTAAATTTGGCTTAATTGAATTTCAGTTTTTATGCTCTCCAGCATGACTAATCAATGAGTGCCAGATTTCACTAGTTTTAATATATCTTTAGCACATATCCACTTGTCCACTTGTACATAAACAAAAAGCATATGTGCAAATCTACATGTATAAAAACAATGATATCTCCATTTTCACCGGTTGTACTTACATGACTTTCTGTTTGCTCTTGATCTTTTCCTTTCTCTGGGTACAGCTCGCTGATTTGGCACTTCCGTGGCAGACTTGACAATGAGATCCATTATCTCATCTGCTGTGTCATCTGTAGCATTAGGTGAATCATCATTGCCAGTGTTCCATGAACCAATGCGACCTGGAAAATGGAAAGCACAGCATTCCCTGGCATGAATCTCTGTTCCATACATGACCTATGTTCTCTATTAATTCAATCTCATCCAAATGTATTGATTAAGCAGAAAGTAGAATAATCAGATTTCAGAAAACAAATAGTCCTGCTTTTGAGAACAATGTGGGGATAATTTTGTGATACATCATGATCTTCTTGCTATCTTTGTTTTTCTACCTCAGTGACTTCAGACAGCTACTATTCCATTTTGGTATTGAAGACAATGGGGGACACGAAAACAGCCTCCTCGAAGACTGAATAAATAAAGTTGGGCATCCCCTGGGCAATGTTTCTTGTAAATGGCTAATCTTCCCAACCCAAAAACATTGCTTTACAACATTTATGCAATGTTGTATATCAAATCAAATCATTTACTTGGTATGTTTGGTACATTAAAAATATAAATATAACTACTGAAGCACAATATGGGTGAGGGAGCAGAAGGGAAGGGGAAACAGGGTAAAAACATACAATGGCCAGATCCATCACCAAATTTTAGATTCAGAGAAGAAGATTACTGGACACACAGTTAACTTTTGGGACTAGTCATTCCCTGACGGATTTTGTATGCTGCTGCACAGAACTTTGCAACATTGTAGGTTGTAGCTGAATTAATATCTGCAAGTAGCATGGAGGTATAAAATTGTCCTGAATGGCCTGGGTGCTTGTATAACAGAGGTAAGATAAGCCTGGCACGGATATCCCTGTAGAACGGGCACTGGAGGAGCACATGTTCTATTGTTTCTACATGACCCAAGTCACAGGGGCAGATTCTCTCTGGGAAAGGGATCTTCCTGTAGCGGCCTTCGAGTACAGCTGATGGGAGAGCGTGGCATCTAGCCAGGGTGAAAGCCCTTCGATGGATGGGAACCTCTAAGTTTGTTAAATATGCCACAGGGGAGGCAAGATATCTGCTATCTTCATTGATAAGGAAGGTTGGAATGACACAATATATATATTGAGTACAAACACAGCCCTTTCTAATTTGGCCTAGGGAACAAGAGAATGTATTAGTAATTCCAATATGGTCTCCTGATATGGTAAGATTGGGTACCCAGGATGGCGATCCCTCCGGATTAATGGTGGCGCTGTTAAACGCCAGGTCTGTCAACAGTAAAACAGCCTTCATCCAGGATTTAATTCTGGAGGAGAGGGCAGACCTGGCGTGCATTACGGAGACCTGGTTGGATGAAGTTGGAGGTGTAAACCTAACCCAGCTTTGTCCACCAGGTTTCTCCATGCAGTACCAGCCAAGATCTGAAGGACGGGGAGGCAGGGTTGCAGTGGTATAGACCATCTCCCTGACCAGGTGCCCCATCCCACAGTCTTTGCGGACAAAGTCGCTTTGATCCATTCTGACCTGGACACCATGCTAACGGCAGTCTCTGAGGATGTAACACGAGCATCTGCTTGTCCAATTTTGATGGCTTCATTTCAATTGGTGAAACCCAAGGATGTGGACAAGATACTTGGAGGAATGAGGGCGACCACAGATGGGCTTCTAAAGGAGGCCAGATGGGGATTAGCCAAGTGGGTGATTAATGTCTCCCTTTGGGAAGGCAATATTCCAGTGAGCTTAAAACAAGCTGTGATAAAACCGGTTGAAAAGGCCATCACTGGACCCCACTCAATTTGTCAACTATTGGCCTGTTTCTAATCTACCCTTTTGGGCAAAGTCCTGGAACGTGTGGTGTCCTCACAACTCCAGGTATTCTTGGAAGACACGGAGTATCTAGACAGGGCACAATCTGGTTTTAGGTGGAACCGAGACAGCCTTGGTCGCCTTTGTTGATGATCTACGTCAGGAGCTAGACAGGGGGAGTGTGTCCCTGTTGGTTCTGCTGGACCTCTCAGTGGCCTTCGATACCATCGACCATGGTATCCTTCTGGGATGCCTCGCAGTGGCTCCGGTCCTTCCTAGAGGGTCATTCCCAGAAGATGTTGTTGGGGGACACCTGCTCGACCCCACAACCATTGTTTAACCATGTTGTTTAACTTCTACATGAAGCCGCTGGGGGAAATCATCCAGAGTTTCGGAGTGTGGTGTTATTTGTATGCAGATGACGTCCAACTGTCACTCCTTCCCACCTGCTACTAAGGAGGCTGCTCAGATCTTGAACCGGTGCTTGGCCACTGTGACAGTCTGGATGAGGGTGAACAAAGTGACATTGAATCCAGACAAGACAGCGGTACTCCTGGTCGTCTTAAGGCCAAACAGGGCATAGAGTTATAGCCTGTGTTGGACTACACTCCCCCTGAAGATGCAGGTTCGCAGCTTGGGGATCCTGGATTCATTGGTGAGCCTAGAACCCCACGGTGGTCCACGCTCTTGGCCATGGTGGTCCATGCTCTGGTTACATTTCGTATAGACTACTGCAATGCGCTCTACGTGCGGTTGCCTTTGAAAACTGCTCGGAAGCTTCAAATGGTCCAGCATGGGGCAGCCAGGTTACTAACGGGAGTGGCGCTCAGGGAGCATACAACTCTGCTGTTGCGTCAGCTTTACTGGCTGCCAGTTTGCTACCAGGCACAATTCAAAGTGCTGGCTTTAGTCTATAAAGCCCTAAACGGTCTCGGCCCAGTTTATCTATCTGAACCCATCTCTCCCTATGAACCTCCCAGGAACTTGAGATCGTCTGAGGAGGCCCTGCTCTTGATCCCGCCAGCTTCACAAGCACGTCTGGTGGGGACAAGAGACAGGGCCTTCTCTGTGGTGGCCCCTCGGCTGTGGAACTCCCTGCCTAGGGATATTAATCAGACTCCTTCCTCCTGAGCTTTCAAAAAAGAGTGAAAACCTGGCTCTTTGAGAATGCGTTTGGAACCTCAGCATGACCAGATAAACTCAAATCGGAAAATGATCTAGGAATGGCTAAGATGATGGAACAGTTGAGGACATGAACAAGAATACATAGTTTTTATAATTTTTACTGTTTATTGCTTTTATGGTTTTTAAATGTATTGTGATGTTTTTGCGTTTTACTGATGTATGTATTTTTATATATGGCATCTAATTGTTGCCGACTTGTACGCCGCCCTGAGTCGCCTTCGGGCTGATATGGGTGGGATAAAAATTACGTAAATAAATAAACAAATAAAAGAATTCTGCTCCTTAAGAATTTTCCTTAATATCCCAAGTTTCTATCATTCCAAATTTCTATCATTCTATCATTTCAAGTTAACCCTTCAAAATACAGTTTAGGCCAGTGGTGTCCAATGTTTGGTCTTCCAGATGTTTCAGATTTCCGCTCCAATAAGCCCTGGCCCACTTGTCCAATGGTAAGGAACTATGGGAACTGATCCAAAATTCCCAGAGGACAAAAGTTAGACACTACTGGAAATACAAGCACTGCAAATATTCTTGGTGTTCAGTTTTCAAAGCCACACTCTCTTTTATGCTAGACACGTGGGAACTGAAGGAAAATGTTATAGTTTGTGGGGGCGGACCTCTTAGGAGGCATTGCAACTACATCCATCTAAATTACTAAATTCAGCTAATTTGGACTTCCAAGAAAATGCTTGAATTGTATTAGTTATCTTTACAACTGCACTGTTTTTCAGTTTTGTGATGTACTACTCAGATAAAAAGACGCATACAATACTACATTAGGAAATGTTCAGTACCAATTATACAAGTTAGCAAAGTTAGCATGCAACTTGTGTATATTAGGAAAAACTGCAAATAAAAATGTGAAAAGTGTGTGAGGGTGTAATTCTAAAGTGACAAAAATGGAAAGAAAATACAAAACTAATATGGACTGATAGCAGACTGATTTTTCTTCTTCCCTAATGCTGCAGACTGTTTTTACTCTAGTTTATCCTTTTGGCCATACATCAAGCCAATAAGAACTGGCCATAAGGATAATTATTACCCACATACACTTTTAGTGAAATAATTGCCAAGCTGCTTACAACACAAAGGAATGGCTTTATTGTAGTTACATTTTATCTATATTTAGTGCTTTCAAAGTTGAGATATTCACATTGCTGCACATGACAAAATTAACAAACAGCCTTGTACCATCTTAACACTTTTATTTAGTATAAACCTGCATACGTGTGATGCAGTGAGCTACGGTTTATGAATACATAAGCTAAATAAAAACTATATATATTTCTACATTACCAGGAAACTCATTGACACTTTGACAGTTACAAACGAACAATGAATACTCCCTCCACCCAAATTTAGAACAAATTAGTCATCCAAAAATATCACAGGAAAAAAATATTGGGTGTCGAAATTGGATTCAATGTCAAATAATACAAAACAAGTAGAAAGAATGTCTGCATAAAAGAAATGTTCAAGATTTCCATATATTGAGAGTGTCATAAAAAGCAGCACTTCCGGTACACTTGGGTAACTGACAACTTTTAAAATTAATTCTTGCTCCACAATCTGTATTCCAAGACTATGTTTTCACACTGTTTGGCAGTTGAGAAGAGAAGTGAATCAGAAGTGACTGGGTATATCAGCAAAAAGGCTGTTGACAAACCTCTTGGAAATTTTCTTCAAGTTTTGAACATTGCATTTGATGTTAAGAATTTCTTTGTGGCTCACCCCTTTTATTTTGCCTTTTCTTTCTCTATCTCAATCTTGAGATTTTTAATAGTATGTATTATGGAAAAGCTAATAAAGATATTAAAAAAAGAATTTCTTTGTGGCTTTAAAAATTTGGTAACACTTCACTCAAATTACTAGCAGGCTCATGATCTCATCTCTGCTGGTTTGCTTCCCAGCTTTAGCACAAAAATAAATGCACAATCATGTAATTTGTTCAGAAAGCAAGGAGTATACATTATTTTGGGGAGGACATTTGTCTTGATGTCCGAAATTCTTCAAAGCAAGGATAGTTAGAGTAGTCCAATTCTTTAAATTCTTTTTGATTTCTTTCCATTTACTCTCATAATTATTCTGCATTAATTTTGAGTTTTTAAATGTAGGTTCCCAAATACTTAATTCTTTTGACTATTTGTAATCTAGATATTTCTTTTAATTTTTCTTGTCTTGTTTTAGATATATTTTATATATTTTTTTGTTAGTAGCTGTAACTGTTCTGACTCAACTTAGAAAGTTGGGACGTGACCTACCTTAAAGGGCTGGTGTGTGAGCAGCCATTTTGTGGTTCTCAGGGAGCCGCAGCACCAGTGTAGAAGCTATTTGCATGAGAGCAACCTGATTGGCCGGATGCAAATGTGCGGATGCCAAGATTTGAACGATGGGAGAGTCAAGGAATTATAGTTGAAGGAGCCTAACTGAACATTCTGGAGAGTTGGTTAGTGAGCTAGGGTCAGGGAGGATGTTAGCTGGAAAGCTACTGGAAAATTAGTCAGAAATCTGTTTTTATGTAGGAATGTAACAGTCCTTTTGGAGAAAAGGAAAAGATTGAATGAAAGTTATACTGAAACATTGTTTTGAAACCGCCAAGCATTTATACCTTTGTAACCATTACGCCCTTGCCTCAAAACGCTACAAATGAATAGAGTTACTGTTTCCTTTTAAACAAAGCCTCTTTTTCAATATCTCACCTCCAACTCAAGAAGTCACAAAAGGTGGAAGAAGAGTTAAACGATCCTTTATTCTTGAGTTGTATGTTTGCACAGGCTGGCAGCCTACCCCCTTCATGACTGTTTTACATCTTTGGTGAGATAAATAAATAAAAGGGCCCTTCTGCCACGCAACAAGTCCGAGTGCCTCACAGTAGCATTGATTTCTCTCTGTTTATTTTGAAACCTGAGACTATTCCTCTATTTTCTGTATCAATTTCTCTAGGTCATCAAATGTACATATAAGGTCATCTGCAAAAGCTCTCAGCTTATAAGTTTATTTGCCTATTTAAATCCTTTTAAATCTTTATCTTCTCTTATGTTATTTAATAGAATCTCTGATGCAAATATAAATATCAGTGGGGATAGTGGACATCCCTGCCTTGTTCCCTTTTGCACTTTCATCATTTCTGCTGCTCATCCATTTATTCAAATCACTGCCTCTTGTTCTTTGTATATTGCCTGAATTGCATTATAAAATAGCATAGCCAATGTCCATCTCTCTGAATACTAGTTTTAAAAAGTCCCAATTCAGGTTATCGAAAGCTTTTTCTGTGTCAACTGATAAAATTGCTAATTCTTTTCATAATATTCCAAAACGTTGATTATGTTTCGCGTGTTATCTTTGATATTTCTATTCGGAAGAAACCCAGTTTGTTCTTTTATCCATCTTCCTAAAAATGCCTTCAATCTTTCTGCTGTTTTGTTTGTAAAGATCTTGTAATCTGTGTTTAGGAGGAATATAGGTCTGCAGTTCTTTACATTGGTAGGGTCTGTGTTTTCTTTTTGAATCATTGTTATATTTGCAATTTTCCATGAATTCAGGATTTTCCCTCATGCGAAACTTGGTTTATGATTTCCTTTAAGTGTGGTTTTAACTCTGCCTTTAGTTTTTTGTAGTAAATCGCTGTCAATCCATTTGGTCCCGGGGCTTTGTTTGAATCTAATTTTTTGATCACTGTATCTATTCCTTCGTCATTTATATCTCTATTCAGAGCTTCACGTTGGTCATCCGATAGTCTTTGTATTTTCTGTTTCCCTAAATATAGGGTGATATCTTCCTTCTTAATTTGTTGTCTTTTATAGAGCTTCTTATAATATATGTTTATTTATTTATTTATTTACAGTATTTATATTCGGCCCTTCTCACCATGCAGGGGACTCAGGGCGGATTACAATGTACACACACGGCAAACATTCAGTGCCATAGAAACACAACACATAGAGACAGACAGTCAGAGGCTATTTAACATTCCAATTTCCTGGCCACCAGGGGAGCTGTCGCTTCACTGTCCATCTGTGACTGATGAAGTACTTTCTGCATTCCCTGCATGCTTTTGCTGGAGATTTTTTATGGCCTTGTAAATTTGTTAAATTAGCCTCCCCACACATAGGTGGTACCTAAATTTCCTACTTGATAGATGCAACTATCTTTCGGGTCGCAAAGGTTGACAACAAGTGACACAAATTGGCAGGGAGCTCACTCTGACCCGGGCTGGCTTTGAACTCATGACCTCCTCTTCGAGAGCTGAGAATGTGTGACTTGCAAAAGAGCTTCTACAGTCAATCAAAAATGTGAACCCTGATCTCCAGAGTCCTACTCCAACAACTATACCATATTGGCTCTCAATAGGTACTTAAATGGTTTGCAAAGAACAGAATCTTCAGCTCTCCACATTTGCAATGGTTGTGGGCATAGGATGCCCACGGAAGTGAAAAAACACAAATAAATACACTGCTATTTTAAATCTGAGAACACACAACTCTAGGACATTCTAGGTCTTCCAACACAACTCTACAGTCTGACATGTGCTGAAGTTGACCATAGAATTGCATTGGAGGATGAAGACATTCCTAGAGAGCTGTTTTCACTATAAATTTTTAGCTCCTTCATCATGACTGGATAATATTGACCACAAAATTATACACAGACCTAGAAATCCCTGGAGAGAACACTTGAAATCAATCCTTGAATAATCAAATCCACAAAAGTCAAGTCCACAAATATGGAGGGATGACTGTAGTATATTCAGGATGCCACAAGGAAAAGGATGCCACATAGAAGTTCACTTTCCCAGCCCAGCTTTTTGTGTATTAATATGAATCCAATCAATCTTACAGATCATATAATGCAGGGGTGTCCAACTCCTTTTCACCGAGGGCCATGTCAGCCTTAAGGTTACCTTCAAAGGGCTGTTTATAATTGTAAGGCTGTGTAAATGTAACTATGTTAACCTGGCATTGAAAGCCTCATGGGCCACATAAAATGATGTGGCAGGTCGGATTTGGCCCATGGGCCTTGTGTACCATGAATCATAGAATCATAGAATCAAAGAGTTGGAGGAGACCCCATGGGCCATCCAGTCCAACCCCCTGCCAAGAAGCAGGAATATTGCATTCAAATCACCCCAGACAGATGGCCATCCAGCCTCTGTTTAAAAGATTCCAAAGAAGGAGCCTCCACCAGAGTTCCAAGCTTCCAAATGTATTAAGTCTGAGACTTTAAATGTTATGGCATTTACCAAGCAGTGACATAGCATATAAATGTGCCCAAATGCATGTGAGTATACTGATTTCCCTTATTGACTACCTAAGCAGACATCTTACCATAAATTAAGAAAAACATTCCAGATATTTAAAAATATTTCAGAAATGTAGTATAGATTAAAATCATGTGACCTGAGGCTTGGTTCACTAGAAAGGATCAAAATAATACTTTTTTAAATCTCTAAATTTCAGGAAGTATAATATCAACAATTATTGAATCTGTTCAGTTATTCAATACCACACCTAACCAATCTAACAAACCGGATTTAAGTGTGTAATTTGTGTGTTCATGTTCTGGGTCTGATTTGGATTTTCTACATGATCTCAGGCATCTCGGAGCTAAACCCAATGAGACTTCAGAAAGATCTTGGTTAGATTTGCTACTATAACATCTATTAGCACTTTCATTACTCATATCCACTCAACCATACTGAGTCACTGAAATACTTTCATAGTGTAGTGTTCATGGAGCTTGCAACTGTGATGTGTGTGCAGTAATAAAAACAAACAAGATCATACATCATCAATGTTCCAAATAAAACCAGAATATTAACCTCGATTGGCTCTGCTTCTAGTGCGCACTCCTAACATAGTGGTGTTCTCCCCGCCCGGAGATGATATCTTCAGGACAGCCTTCATGTTCTCATGTTCCACAGCATCTTCAGCATATTGCAGGCCTTGTGGTTGGTTCTGTGATGTGGGGGAGCTGCTGGAGAATTTCCCAGACTTCAGAAAGAAAAAAAAAACACTTTTCACTTTAAATTTGCAAAATCTAAGTGCTAAATTCAAGGTCAGTAGAGGAAATAGACCATGTTTTTGCACACCTCTTATTCAAGCTTAAAATCAATAATTTATTATTATTATTATTAATTATAAATACAGTTTTGAAATACACTCTTGGATCTATGGTTACACCATCACCACAAAACAGTAAAACAATCCAACACAAACACTATTGCTTAGCCTTTGAGAGAATTCCAAAAAGCTCATTGCTGGAAGGAAGTCAAACAAAATCAACATCGAAACACACCAGTGTTGAAGCCTAATATACCTTTAGTTGGAGTCCATCCAACACTATGGACAGTTCAGCAATGCTGAACGGAAATCCGTAAGACAGTAGCATGAACCATGCTGCTGCAGCAGAAGACCACAGTAGACTCAGAGGACGGTGTATGAGATTATTTCGAGATAAACTTTCCTGAATTTGTAGAGCTTTATACTGTAATAAAACTCTTCAATTTATCTTACTAGCAAATATTATCTTACTACCATGCTAGCGCCACTACTACTGGTTGATCTCCTCAAGTTAAACCTTTCCTAATTATGCCAGGCTGACCAGCAGCAGCATCTCTCTCTCTCTGTGTGAAACTAATGAAGTAGAGACAAAAGCAATGGCCTCATAACTAACAGAACTACTTAATGCCTTCTTTGCCTCAGTCTTCTCACAAAAAGGTCATCTTCAACCTCAGCAAGATGGAGTGGATGAGGTCCCAATCTTCAAGAAGGGAAAAAAGGATGACCCAAACAATTACCGTCCGGTCAGCCTCACGTCGATACCAGGCAAGATTCTGGAAAAGATTGTTAAGGAAGTGGTCTGCAAACACTTAGAAACAAATGCGGTCATCGCTAATAGTCAACATGGATTTATCAAAAACAAGTCATGCCAGACTAATCTGATCTCTTTTTTCAATAGAGTTACAAGCTGGATAGATGCAGGGAATGCCGTGGATTTCAGTAAGGCCTTCGACAAGGTCCCCCATGACCAATGTGGGCAAAACTACGGTGAGGTGGATCTGTAATTGGTTAAATGGACGAACCCAGAGGGTGCTCACCAATGCTTCCTCTTCATCTTGGAAAGAAGTGACAAGTGGAGTGCCACAGGGTTCTGTCCTGGGCCCGGTACTGTTCAACATCTTTATTAATGACTTAGATGAAGGGCTAGAAGGCATGATCATCAAGTTTGCAGATGACACCAAATTGGGAAGGATAGCCAATACTCCAGAGGACAGGAGCAGGATTCAAAACGATCTTGACAGATTAGAGAGATGGGCCAAAACTAACAAAATGAAGTTCAACAGTGACAAATGCAAGATATTACACTTTGGCAGGAAAAACGGAATGCAAAGATACAAAATGGGAGAGCAGTACGTGTGAAAAAGATCTTGGAGTCCTTGTGGACAACAAGTTAAACATGAGCCAACAATGTGATGTGGCAGCAAAAAAAGCTTTGTTTTGGCCCATCTCTCTAATCTGTCAAGATTGTTTTGAATTCTGCTCCTGTCCTCTGGAGTACTGGCTATACCTTCCAATTTGGTGTCGTCTGCAAACTTGATGATCATGCCTTCTAGCCCTTCATCTAAGTCATTAATAAAGATGTTGAACAGGACGGAACCCTGCTGCACTCCACTTGTCACTTCTTTCCAAGATAAGCACCCTCTTGGTTCGTCCATTTAACCAATTACAGATCCACCTCACCGTAGTTTTACCCACATTGGACTAGTTTCTTTGCCAGAAGGTCATAGGCCTTACTGAAATCCAGGTACGCTACATCCACGGCATTCCAGTTTGTAACTCTATCGAAAAAAAGAGATCAGATTAGTCTGGCATGACTTGTTTTTGATAAATCTATGTTGACTATTAGCGATGACCGCATTTGTTTCTAAGTGTTTGCAGACCACTTCCTTAACAATCTTTTCCAGAATCTTGCCTGGTATCAAGGTGAGGCTGACCGGACAGTAATTGTTTGGGTCATCCTTTTTTCCCTTCTTGAAGATTGGGACCACATTGGCTCTCCTCCAGTCTGCTAGAACTTCTCCCGTTCTCCAAGAACTCTCAAAGATGATTGCCAATGGTTCCGAAATGACTTCTGCTAGTTCCTTCAGTACTCCTGGGTGTAGTTGATCTGGTTTTGGGGACTTGAACTCATTTAGAGCGGCCAGGTATTCCTGGATGACTTGTTTCCCAATTTGGGGTTGGATGTCCTCTAATCCATCATCCACTCCATCTTGCTGAGGTTGAAGATGACTTTCTTTTTGTGAGAAGACCGAGGCAAAGAAGGCATTAAGTAGTTCTGCCTTTTCCCTACTCCCTGTCAGCATTGCCCCATCTTCTCCTCGAAGAGGCCCTATCGCCTCCTTGTTTTTCCTTTTTCTACTGAAATAAGAAAAGAAGCCCTTTTGATTGTTTTTAATGTCCCTGGCAAGCCTGAGCTCGTTTTGTGCTTTAGCCTTGTGGACCTTTTCCCTACAGGTGTTGGCTATTTGTTTGAATTCTTCTTTGGTGATTTCTCCCTTTTTCCACTTCTTGTGCATGTCTCTTTTGTGTTTTAGCACAGTTAGAAGTTCTTTGGACATCCATTCTGGCTTCTTTGCACTTGTCCTATTTTTTCTCTTTGTTATCACAGTTTGCAATTGTGCCTTGAGTATTTCACTCTTGAGAAATTCCCATCCACCCATAACTCCCTTATCTTTTATTATCTGTGTCCACGGAATGCTGCTCAGCGTTTCCTTCCTTTTTCGGAAATCGACTCTCCTAAAGTCCAAAATGCGGGTTTGACTTGTCTTAGTTTTGGCCTTCCTTTGTACCTCAAATTGCAGGAGCACATGGTCACTTGCCCCTAAGGATCCGACCACTTCAACCATGTCGATCAGGTCCTCCGCATTTGTTAGGATGAGATCAAGAGTAGCCAACCCCCTTGTTGCCTCTTCTACCTTCTGGACCATGAAATTGTCTGCAAGGCAAGAGAGGAATTTGTTGGACCTTGTACTCTTGGCTGAGTTTGTTTTCCAGCAAATATCGGGATAGTTGAAATCGCCCATGACTACTACATCTCTTCTCTGTGCCTGTTTGGTCAACTGTTGGCAGAAGACTTCATCAAGTTCTTCCTCCTGGCTTGGAGGTCTGTAGTAGACGCCTACAACGACATCTTTTTGAGTCCCAGTTCCCTTGATTCTTATCCAGATGCTTTCAAGCTGGTTTCCCGGATTGCTGTCTTGCATCTCTTCTGCAGCAGAAGAGTTTTTGACATATAAGGCTACTCCGCCTCTTCTCCCCTTTGTTCGGTTTCTATGAAAGAGGTTATAGCCCTCGATGTGTACATTCTAATGATAGGAGACATCCCACCAGGTTTCAGTGATGCCTATGATATCATATTTGTGGTGTTGTGCTAAAAGTTGGAGTTCGTCATGTTTATTTCCCATGCTCTGTGCATTAGTGTAAAGACATGTGAGCCCCTGAGATCTTCCCCTGAGCTGTTTAATTGGGATTATTGTGCTTTTGGTACTTGGTCCTTGTTGTGTTTGTGCAGACCTCCATTTATCCTTCTGGTGATTCCCTGACATTGTGGGTAAAGTAGTGTTCGCAAGGCTGTTGTCCCCCTCCCCCAGTGGACCTAGTTTAAAGTACGCCTAATGAGATTTGCGAGTCTGTGAGGAAAAAGGTGTTTTCCTACTTGTGTGAGATGCACCCCATCCCTAGGTCATCCCCCTGGAAAAGCAGGCCATGGTTGAGGAAACCAAAGTGTTCCTCCTGACACCATTTTCTAAGCCAGTCATTGACCTGTACTATTTTTCTGGCCCTTGTAGGACCGTGTCTTACAACTGGGAGGAGGGATGAAAAGACCACCTGTACATTACACTGTTTTAGCTTTGTTCTGAGAGCTTGAAAATTATTTATGATCTTTTGAAAAGTATGCCTAGCAGTATCATTGCTTCCTACATGAATGAACATGAGGGGAGGACGGTGAGGGGCTTGAGGAGCCTGGTGAGCCTCTGAGTGATATGGTGTATTTTTGCCCCCGGTAGGCAGCATATTTCTTGAGCCATCCCATATGGTCTGGAAATGACGGCTTCCGTTCCTCTAAGGAGGGAGTCGCCTACTACCAAGACCAGTTTACTTTCAGGACTGACAGGGTCCCTTTTGTGCAATGTAGTGTGTAGGTCCCCAGAAAAGTGATCCTTTTGATGTGAATTGTGTAGGTGTAAAGTGTTGTTCTCCTCCCCAACATCCCCGGTGCATTTGTCAAGGACAATCCATTGAGATTCGTCCAAGAGCCTATCATTTTCCTGTATGTGTTCCTGTTGCACCTGGTCTATGGCATCTAAATGATTAATAAAGATGTTGAGCAGAACCAGGCCCAGGACAGACCCTCTGGCACTTCACCCATCAGTGGAGGCCACCACAAAAAATGACAGAAATAGGGTCGGAAATCTGAATGCGACCATTCAGTGACTTGTGCATAGGACAAGTCAATGCATCAAAACAAAACAGACATAGACAACACAATGATAGAAAAGATCCTTTCCACAAGCTCTGAGAAATGAAAGGGAAATTTTAAGCAAGAATGGAAATTTGATATAACTGGCAAGGCAGCATATTATATGATCAAGAAGAAATAAAAAGAAGATCTTCCATCAGTACACTACATGAAAGTGATGAAAGATGACTGATTCATTCAAGAAAAAAACATTTGATGACATACCCAGAGTTTTACAACTTTAAATGGAAGCTGCTTTCAAAGCATTTGAGAGAAATAAATCACAAGGAACAGACAGCATACCAAGATAGTTTACCAAGGACAACTATGAAGAAACTAGATAAGATAAAAAGGTAAAGGTAAAGTTTTCCGCTTGACCTTAAGTCTAGTTGCGTCCAATTCTAGGTGTGGTGCTCATTTCCATTTCTAAGTCGAAGAGCTGGTATTGTCCGTAGATACCTCCAAAGTCATG